TTTTGACGGGTGAGTTTGACCATGTAGCTGAGTTTGCTGGAGTCTATATCTTTCTGAGCTCTTCTCTGGCCTTTATCTGACATCTTGACTTTGCAGGAATTTCTCTCCGTTTTTCTGCTCAAAGGAACTTCGTATAAGTTCTGCCATTTTTCTTTGACGAAATATGATTTTTGGTCCCCAAGAATCATATTTCGTCATCAATTTTACAAAAAGTGTGCAAATATCTATACACAGCGACAGTATCCCTTTAAAGTGTGCATTTAAATCTACAAACATGCTACAATAACTGTCAAAACTGAAAAAATTTAATCTGCAGATCAAGTTATTTTAAGGATTCATCTCCCAGCTGTACAGTAATACTCATAGTATCCATATTGACAGTATGTTGACTTACATGTACATCAGCAGCATAAACCCCCATCATAGTGACACCATAGTCACAGGTTTCTATTGACTGAAAGTTAGGCACCAGTGATGATTCATTTTGAGCCTGACCAGTGAAAAATAAAATGGATGATTAAATAATTTGTGAGCATGCATGATTGATTACCATATATCTTGTGTCTTGTTTGAGAGCATTCACTGGACAGAAGTAACCTTTACCAGGAGGACATGTAAAGAATCTTGTTCCATAATATGTACCATCAGTTCCACCATTTATTGTTTTCTCCTATAAATTATAAACAAATGTCAAGTTGAATATTATAGTTTAATAATAATAATAATAATAACTAGTTATATACTATTATAATTATACCAATTCTACTCCAGCTATTGTTTCAGGGTAGTCAGTTAGTGTCCCTACCCACTTTACCACGCCATACAGCGGATCACCTTTTTGTACATCAATACACACCATTGAACCAAGAGTGAACTGGGAATGAGGATTAGCCGGGCTCTGAGGAAGAGCCTGACGCGTATCAGATACCACAGCATCATACGTATCTATGTATGAAGCTCCACCATAGATACCGTTTGTTTCCCGCAACCCGTACAGACTGTCACGGTCTGGTGCCCGAATCATGCTCGGATTTATGGCGATGAGTTCGTCGTGATTCTTCTTCTTCTTCTTCTTCTTCTTCCAAAACAACCAGGCCATTTCGCCAAAAAATAATTCCGACTGCACAATTAACGCGCCAACGCGGCTGTTTCAGCATAGATACTACATACACACATGGATATGAAACAGGAAGTCGGTATCCAATTAACTCTTTGAAGTTCACCTGTAAACGTCATAACCAGCATAGCTCTATCCTTGGCGCTTTTCTCTCTGTCTATGTTTTCAAGAATTTTTTTTACTCACTTATTTTTGTGAAAGAAAGTATATAGGTGTTTTTGTTTTGTTCAGTAGACCTAATAAATATATTCTCATTTCATTTTGTCAACAGGCCTTATGTTTACATGACAAAATTAGAAGAACTCCATTTTTATTTGTAACCACCTTTTCTAGACTCTCGAACGGAGTTAGCTAGTAAGTCTTGGAATCATAATAGTGTATTGTTTGTTACATGGACTGAAACTATTCTCGTGTCAATGTAATGAGAAATGACTGAGATAATAGCCAAAAACTAGTTTTTTAACATTAATTTTGTAACCACCTTTTTGAGACTTCTGCACCAGGTATGAACAAGTTACTACTTTGAGTGTATTCATTAAGGCCTCTTATATAGACTGTTTATGGTTTCATTTTTCTAGATGCTATGTTTCAAAAGTAATATATTTTTTGCAAGTGTTTCAAAGGGTGTGGTTTAATTTTTAGTGAGAACTGAGTAGTGAAAGAATAGGTTATTTACCAAGAAACACAAGCAGGATTTCAGTGGCATTGATGAGACATTGTTACATGATTGTAAAGCTTTATATTTATGCTACCACAGAGAACTATCAAGATAGAGATGATGTACATTACAGTATGTACTGTATGGTGATACAGTAAGTGCGGCTTATAATAATTGTTGTCAATGTTTTTATTGCTATTTTTATAGTTAAAATTTGTTGAAGGACTCATAATAATAATAAATCTATTGGGTCACTGAAGAATAGAATAATCATCAACAGTTATAATGATAATAATTTAAATAATAATTTTTTAGTACTTAGCACAGTGCATTCTTTCGTGTAATAGTAGATCTTCACTTTTTAGAACTAGAATATCGATTGCAACTCTTATATAGTCGTAGACCTGAGCTTTAGTAAGTAATTCAACTGGATTTCTTCACTATTTTGCTTGTGCCATGCTTATACACGTGTAGTGTAAACGTCACAATACATCACTTCCGGTGCCAAGGATCGAGCGCATCCTGTTTCATATCCATGTGTGTATGTAGTATCTATGGTTTCAGTGTTTCTATGCATAGATTTTATAACTAGTTTTTAACTACGTAACATGGATTGGAAACTGATCACGTGATCCCATTCAAATCAATGCAGAGTAACGGAGGTAGTTTACGGACACGTAACGTTTGGGAAGGGTCTCACCATAGATATTATAGACTACGTAACCTACGTAATATAAACATATGAGTATATTATAAGAGCCCAAGTACAGGTGAAATAGCTTGCGGGACTTCACTAGAGACCATTCTTTACAGCCATGGCAAGGATTTTCGTCGGCCTCTCACTGTCACAGAGACTCTACCTGAATAATTACATTGATTTGAATGGGATCACGTGATCTGTTTCCAATCCCGGTTACGTAGTCTATAATAATATCTATGGTCTCACGATTCCTTGGTACTGGATGTGAGGTGTCCTTTGGAAAGCAGTGGGTCTACCAGATTCTATCCATGAAGGATTTTCAGAAATTCTTGTACTGGGGATTTTAGGAATTTTTAAAAGGCTACCGGGTGGTGGAGGTAGTTAACGGACAGGTGAGGCAGTCTCCGGACAGTGCCGACAGAAATCGCCGGACCTTTTCTGAGGTAACTGAGCAATAAACTAAACAGCAATGATAGTAAGGATGAAATTTAATGATTTTCTTGCATAGGTGATGGACCAAGCCTGGCTGAAACTTGCTTAATTTTGAAGCTGGACTCATAATTACCAAAATTTATCTTAGTTACTTAAGCAACTTTAAAGAATTAATGATATCAGCCACTGATGTAAAGATTTGCAATCAATCTAGTTGCTTATAAAAGCATTATGTATAAAAACTTACATTAAATATCTTAATGTAATTAGAGCAGTATTTGTAATCACATAAAAGGAATACTTTCAAATAAAAATGATAGGTGCTACGTAGTCTATAATATCTATGCTCAAACAAATAAAAGACGTTATCAACAAGATGGAAGCGAGCAGCAGTGAGTCTTTTATACCGTAGGCTCCCCAGCGCTGTAAAGACACCATTCCCTGCCCCAGTACCAATAGTAAAACACCCAATAGTCCCAACGACTAGTAAGCATCCAGTAATGCCACCAACTAATAAAACAGGCCCTCCAACTAAACACAAGCCATTACCTGCTCCTCCTAAAAAGCCTCCACCAGGATATGTCAACTTATTACCAACTAACTTACCTCCTGCTAATTCAGGCGGACATAACCGGACGCCCAGCACAGATTACAATATCGAAGAAGAGTATGATGATGATGATCAGGAGGTCTACATTGCTCCGGGTGAGATTGAAGATGAGCACCCAATATATGAGAATCATGGCCCCACTGGCTCGTCGCTCCAACCAAACAGTCCTTATGCTAACGTATTAGTGATGTATGGAACGCCAAATGCGACAAAAATAAGAGCAACTCTTTGCAATCGATTTAAAAAAAATTGACCATTGCAATTGATTTTTTAAAATCGATGTTTAAAAATCGACTTTTACAAATCGATTTTTAAAAATCGATCTTAAAAAATCGATCTTAAAAATCGATCTGTGTGGGCACGACCACGCCCTAAGAAGCCCTGCCTCTCATATCACGAGACCACGTGTTGTGAAACATGGCAGGACAGGGTGATGACCGAGGTGATGACAGGCTGAGTCCAAATCAGTTAGAGAAGGCAACTAAGGCTATTCAAATTCTTGCTGGTTTAGATATACCCGACACTATCTCCAAGAGAAGCTCTTCAGATGATGGTAAGTCTCTAAATGCATGTGTGAATTACTAGGTACTACACTATGAATTCAAGTTATTCATGGCAATTTGAGTTATGTAAAAGAGTTGTCTTTATCAATTCACTGAGTGACTTTTTGTGTAGGGTCCTTTTTTGCTTTCAGAAAAATGTTTATCATTGGTTTTATTACTTTTATAATAAAATTGAAAGAATTAATTTATAGTGTGGTATAATAATGAATCTGACTATGTCTTTATTTTTAGTCCTTGCTGCAGCTGATCGTTGCCTTGCTACTTTTAATAATAGTCAAAGATTGAAATCTAAACCTCCCTCTAAGAGAAAGGCAAAGGATGAAGTTTTGTCTATTTTTAAGAGGTCCAAGGCTGCCACTAAGTTAGGGGAGTCCAGCAAGTGTCTCTGGAAGCACAGTTTTGTTTGTTTAGCGTACTGTGGGCAGACTAGAATTCCTACAACAGAGATAGAAAAGGATGACCTACTGCGAGCGGGTCTTGGGGAAAAGGAAGTGGAATTCTTTAACATGGAGATAGGAGCTGAAGCATTTCGAGATTTATTGTACGACAAGTTTCCACCCCTGAGATGTGGAGGAGGATTTGAGTTTTTGAAATGCATCCCCAATTCACGTAATATGGAGGTCTTATCTCCTGTTACTCTGTCGTCTCCATTGGCACTGAAGACTAGAGTCGGTACTACAAAGCGCACATATATACGTCCATTGCAACAAGATTTGGAGTTGTCTGCCATATTTGATTTACCTAGTGGAGTATGTCAATTGTCAACTAATAATTTTGTTTAATTTTGCATTAATTTTTAGCCTGAAGAGGAATGTTTGAAGTGTGGTGAGTATTTTAATTTGGGAAAACTGGCTAGTCATATTTCTTCATGTGGACGAAAGTATGAAATTCGTACATTTGAATTATTAAACGATTCATTCTATTGTGTACAGAGTAGAAATTGATCTTACAGATGAATATGGACAGTCATCATCAAAGTGGGTGCCTTCATTGCTATGCCTTGTTGTATTTTATAGTCATTTTAATAATAATTTCTATAGAGTAAAGGAGGAGAATACTGGAATCAGAAATGATTTGTAAGTGATACCATTCAATACTTGAGTAATTGTTGTTATAGTGAGAAGGAATTTGATTCAATTGAGGATTCTAAGTACTATTTTGATGCTGTAGTAAGTAGAATTGGCTCTATTTGTGTAAATTATAGATTGGGCAATTTTTACTTAAGCTCATTTTATTTTGATGGTCAACAGTAAATTTTAACACATGAAATACATGTATTTTTATAATGCATACAAAAATAATTATGGAAATACAAAGTAGTCATGATAAAAGAGAATGAAATATTTCCAATCTATGATACACGTAGTGTTAATACTATATGATGGGCTAGTTCACATCATTCAATGTGGCACGTGCCAATCAACCCCATTTTTATCCTGTATTTTTTAGCTTGAACTAGAGAATGACATTGTTCAAACTGTGATGGAACAGAGTAGCAAGGAAATCACAGCAGCCTGCAATGAACAAGCTCCTTTAATGATGAAAATTGGGGAAATGAAGAAGCAAATTGATACTGATGAAACTATGTTCCTTGATGTGCGTAGAGGTTTTGTCTTAATAGATGCTATGAGGCAAGCTACTAAAAAGAAATTCAATCCTTATCAACTGCTCAAAGTAACAAAAAATTTCTTATCATTAATAGTTTTAAAGTCTTAACAGATCAGATTTGTTGGTGAATCTGCTATCGACCATGGAGGTCCGAAAAGAGAATTTTTTCATCTTTTAGCTCTTGATGTTTCGAACAATTACTTTTCTGGAGCAGATAATGGATCAAGATTTTTAATTAATAATATTATTGGTGTTCAGGTATAGTGTATATGCATGTTGTCTAATACTTGTTATTCCATGTCATTAGGATCGAAAGTATTATTACTTGGGTGTCTATTTTGTTCTGTCTGTTCTTTATGGAGGAAATGGCTTCCCATTTATGCACGACTCACTCTTCAATTACTTGGTTTATCAATCCATAGATACATCAACTGTTTCTGTGGATAATATACCTGATCAGACACTCAAGTTCCTTGTCAATAAAGTAACTTGCTAACTTCACTCTGACACATCATTACTGTTGTATTTTTGTAGGTCCTTGAAGCAGAAACTGATGATGACATCCAGATAAGCTGCTCCATTGATGAATCATTGGACTTACTGCTAGCCACTGGCTTTAGGAAAGCTGTGTGCAATCTTACACTTGAAGACAGGAATGATATCAGAAATGCTCTGCTAAATTATCACCTTATTGCCAAGGTAAAGGCTGAATTAGATCAATTTGCAGAAGGTCTTCAAACTTTTGGATTTTTATCATTTGTTAAAGCCGATCCTCATACTTGGAGACCTTATTTTATACAAACAGACAAGGAATTAACTCCTGGTAGGAATTAGTTGTATTTGTATTTTATAAATTATTTTTTATTACCAAATTAAGATATCATAAAAGGTATGTTGTCTGTGGAGTATTCAGCTAAAGGAAGTGTTGACCGTCCCTTGGAAGAAAGAACCTATATGTTTTTTGTAGACTTCTTGGATGATTGCTACGGTTAGGCTTGAAATTTTAATAAGTGTATTTTACATGCATGGTTATTATTCTATTGTAGAGGAAGGTATCTCTGGTTGTGACTTGTCTAATTTCCTTCTGTTTTTGACTGGGACGAGCAGAATTCCACTTCTTGGATTTGAAGAAAGCATCACACTCCTTTTTTTGAAGTATGGAAATTTTCCAACTGTATCAACTTGTGGCATTGAGATTCGTTTACCTACCATTCATGACACTTATGAGAAGTTTAAAGATATTATGATTCATGCAATAAAAGGAAATGATGGTTTTGGAGGAGGCCCCTAAGTACACTTCTTTACTGGTTATTATTACTCAGTTATTGTTTTACAGTTATCATTCATTTATTCAAGAACCATTTTCTTTGTTCATCATTAAGTCTCATGTATACATTTCATGTATTCTCATTTAAAGACATGTACAATTGTACATTTTTTACAATTGAAAAAGTTGATTGTAAAGTTTATGACAAATTATTGTTCAAAAAAGTTTTTGCCATAGTGTACTGTGCTAACATTCCTTCCTGAGAATAATAATTATCTGAAAATGGAGACAAAAGCTGCTTCAATTGAGCACTCTGGTCATCTGAAATGAAATTATCTACATCTTCCAATACCACTGTTTCTTCATCGTCACCAAGTGGGACTGGCTCATTGTAGTCAATACCATATGAATCAACCTAAAAGGAATGCAATGACATAATGAATCACAACTTAAAATACTTACATCTAAACCAAGCAAGGCTTCGTCATTTTCATCTTCAATACTGCTCAAACCTAACACCCATAACTGCATTGGTGTTTTATTATTCTCAGTCCTTATGCTATGGTGAGCCCACCCATGGCGAAACATGTCAAGATGCTTCTGAATGATAGGTATAAAGACAGTGTGAAGGGCACAGATGTCATATAGTGAGTTTATGTCTAGTATCTCCATATCTTCTAACCAATAGAAAAAATAATAAAAGAAAGAAACGCAGCCGGCAAACAGGTCCCTCCATAATCTTTCGATTCGCTGATTGTGGACACTTTTCCCTGTGATGGCACTGCCCCTTTCAGAACCACGATGCTCAATCATGTAAGCTGCTACGAGGGCATTTTCACCTCCTAGATCCATTCTTACTCTGGATGGTAGACCAAATTCTTCAACTGCTCCTACAAATGACTGAAGCACGGTTTCGGCACGATTATTTGTGGCGATCCTTAGGAATGTTATGAGCCTACTATATCCATCAATACTGCCGTGTATCACAAAACGCCATCTGATTAGCTTATGGTACCCATCAATGTGCCATAAAGCATTAGGAGATGCAACTTTATATGTTCTACGATGCAATACCTGTCTACATCGCATTTGCACACCATTAGGATCGACTCTGTGTATAGCTTCTCTCACACGATCTCTTGGAATAATTATTCCAGAGCTTCTCAATCTACCACTAATTGTCTTTTCACCACAATTAGGAAACATGAATAATATTTCTTGCACGGCAAGATCTAAATCTGCATCAGACAATTGAGTGAATTCGTGATGTATATTAAACTTATTCATCCTTCTTTCTATGGTTCTTCTTGAACACCCATGTATGCTTGCTATGTCTTTTGTTTTAAAACCATTGTCCACTAGGTATCGCAGTTGATTTTCTTCAATTAAAATCGGCGGACGACCTTTCACCCTGACCCTTCTCACTTCGAGATCCCTTTCTATTGCCAATATCAGATCTTTTACTGCTGTAAAAATGTCATCTTCATTATCCAGATCAATGAGAAGAACCAGACACTGGACAATGCTTTCTAATAGTTCCAGTACATCTTGAGCCATTAGTTCATCATAATCGTTGTAATGAGACTGAATATGTTCAAATATTCGTAGAGAAAGAAGAAGTAAAGGAATAGTGTCGTTTTCCTCTCCATCGTCCATTTTATTGTAGGCGTGGTAGCTGCTCGACTCCACCCATGCTCCACCTTCATGACTACGGCCGGCCCACGGTTGCTATTAGCAACAAACAACTCTGTTTGGTAAGGGCTTGTTGAGGGCTTGCCAAGGGCTTTTGACTTACTAACCTCTTTTGAGTCACTGGCTCCATTATTCTCAAAACAGGCATGAAAGAGGTTAAAATAAGCCAAATGGAGGCTTGAAATAGGCTAGTGAGCCAAAGCCCTTACTAAGCCCTTACCGGCAGGCTAGAACTCAGGGTTTCTCAATTTATTTTTAATTTTTATTAATTTTACCATAAACTACCCTGTATTTTTAACTGTTAATAATCAAGCAAGAGTGAAATTTAATTATGCATAGACCATAAAAATTGGCCAAGGGCAGAGTTTGTCAACTTGAGGGCTTGGTAAGGGTTTTAGATCACTGGCCAATTTCAAGCCTCTTTTAGCTTACTAGGCTCTTTCAAGCCTATGTAAAGAATAATGAAGATAGTGAGCTATGAGAAGCTAGTGATTAGCAAACTCTCTTACACCCCACTCAGGTGGGGCGTGGCTGGGTATCTTCTAGGCTAGAACTCAAGTTTTCTACATCATAATTCACCAATTTCATCTTAAACTAGCTTATATAGCTAAAAGGTATTTTTAAAGCAGGAATAGAAGTTAATTGCAAGTGGAAATTAAAATTGGTGACTTTCTCCTAACTTTTGGCTTCAAGGCCAGTAAAAGAATAAGTAAACTCACTGGGCTTTGAAGGCCAAGTTAGGTCAAAATCTCCAAATTTTATGTCTACTTGCAATTTGCTTTCATTTTTGCTTAAGCAATATTTGGTAGCTATACAAGGTGGTTTATGGTAAAATTGGTGAATTTTGATGCAGAAACCTTGAGTTCTAGCCTGAAAAGTACTAAACCACGCCCCGAGTGGGTGTTGGGTATTGCACTTTTGGCTCACTAACTCCATCATTCTTCACCTTTCAGTTTCAATTTTTTTTACAAAACATTTACACGAGCCATTGCAGTTTATATAAAATTTTCAACTGATAAAGTATGATTTTTTGAGAGATAAAAATTTAAAAGCAAAATGACTATTTCTCAAACATTAGAAGCATAGTAGTAACAACTATAATGCTAATAGTCAGTGTCCTCTTTTTTATTGACACAATAGTGTACTACTATTAAATCTTTGTGTCTGCAGTATGTTTTTATTAGCAAAATACGACAAAATTTTTATTTTTAATAGATTTAATCCTTGATAATTACATTGCCAGTTTGAATGGCTAACAGTGGTGCAGAGCAATGCTTTGTGAAAAAAATTGCACCTAAAAAGTAAAGATGATGCAGATACTGAGCAAAAAGAGCTATACCTAACGCCCACTCGGGGCGTGGCTGAGTACTTTTTGTGCTAGAACTCAGGGTTTCTGCATCAAATTTCTCAAATTTTGCCATGAACCACTCTGTATAGTTATTAGGTAATATCTAAACAAAATAAAAGTTAATTGCAACTGGACAAGTTATTATTGGTGAATTGTTTGGCCAAGTTATGTCAATTTCCCAATTTTATGTCAACTTGCAATTAGCTTTATTTTTGCTCAAGTATTATCTGTTAGCTACTTAAGATAGCTTATGATAAAATTGGTGAATTATGATGCAGAAACCTTGAGTTTTAGCCCAGCTGTAAAGTACTCAGCCGCACCCCCAGTAGGTGTTAAGCTCTTGGTTCAGCATCATCATAATAATCCAGTCAGTGTTTTAAACATGATATTTTTATCAAGTTTGTCTTTTGAAGTAAAAAAAATAAATTTCCAAGCATCATGGCTTGATGTTGTTGGATAAATACAATGTTTATAATTCTGAATCACGCAGGTATTACAAACATCATTGCTAATATTAAGAGTCACTAATATTTCCATTGACTAGTTCTGATAGTCATTTGGTCTCGGTCATTTG